CATCTAGGAAATGATATAAGAAATTTGACAGTTTTATGTTGAGTGAAGATTATCTTAGATGCGATTTTTATTGTTCAACTGTCACGATCCCACCCCATGACCCCTGCCGTTCCCAACCTGAGGGCGACAAAGCGCGAGATCACGATCACAGAGGTCGTGAACGCCACTTAGGTGGTAGTGGCTCAACGCTTTAGAAAACAGTATTCTGGTGGCAGTTTTTTTTGTGGTTTGCACTGATCATCGTTTTATAAAGCGTTGAGCCACTCTGACCTGAGTGGCGTTCGCTACCTCTGTGATCGCGATCCCACACTCTGTCGCCCTCCGGTTGGGAACGGTAGGGGTCAGGGGGCAGAGTTGTGACATCAACATTACTATTTTGTTGCTTTATGTTGATGATATGCTTGTTACTAGTAATGATCTGAGCGAAATCAAGTGTTTGAAGCTTGATATGCCCAAGCATTTTGCCATTAAGGATCTTGGACCAGCCAAGAAGATTTTGGGCATGTACATCCATTGAGATAGAAGTAAGGTAAGATTTGGTTAAGTCAATCTGAATATGTTTCTAAAGTTATTGAGCGCTTTAATATAATTATTTGTAAACAGAGCTGCATGTTTTAAGTTGTCTAAAAAGGAGTCTCCAATGAATGAGGTAGATAAAAATAAGATGAATAATGTTCCACATACTTTTGCTGTGGGTAGTGTGATGTATGCAATCGTTTGTAGTACATTTCAAATTGCCCATGCAGTGGGATTTGTTTCGAGATTTATGTCTAATCCAGATTGGGAACATTGGCAGGCAGTTAAGTAGATCTTTCGATATTTAAAGGGAACACAAAATGTATGTTTGCGTTTTGAAAACTCATCATTCGAAGTTGTCGGTTACTGATTATGCAGGATGCCGTGATACCAAAAGGTCTACCACTGGGTACATTTTTAAGGTTGGTGGTGGTGTAGTCAGCTAAATATCATGGTTGCAAGATATTATTGCATTATCATCAACTGAAGCTGAATATGAGGCATTAACAAAGGCAGCAAAAGAAATGACTTAGTTGAGAAGGTCACTTGACCAGTTTGGAGTGAAACAAGAAACATGTGTTGTACGTTGTGATAACCAGAGTGCTATTCATGTGGCTAAGAATACAGCTTATCACTCCAAGACAAAACATATAGAGGTCATATACTATTTCATTTGGCTGGCCCTGGAGCGTAGGGATTTGCAGGTGGACAATATCCACACTGAGAAGAACCTTGTTGATATATTGACAAATGTTGTCTCAACCAAGAAGACAAAGATGTGCAGAGACTTTCGGAGTTTTAGGAGACGTAACCTCAAGTGGATGAAGAGTGGTGCACTGGTAGTTATTTCAGAGACTTTGTGATTTGTCTTCAAGTGAGAGATTATTAAATGTGTGAAGCCAAATCACATATGGAGGTTTTATTATTGACTTTTCTCTCTCTTATTTTGGGCTATTGGATTGCACCTAATCTAATGATTGAGATGTTATGAAACTTCCCTTAAAGGGGCTTATTTCACTGTGTTTTAGCAAGAGAAAGAGTGGAAAAAAGATAGACAGATTGGAGGTTGACGTGATTGAGGGAAGAAGAAGTGGGTTTCCTTTAAATTGAAATTTGGTTGGAAGAAAGAAAAAGATGGGTTTCATCGCACTAGAACTGCAGAGTAAAGAAGAATCTCAAATGGGTATTCGCAGGATCAAGCTATAAAAACGAAGAATAAGAAACGAGAAATTATTTTCTCATATCAGATAACACATGTAGAAGAACCATGACAAAGAAGAAGAAGGACTGGTTTTCTTTCGGAAAAAGAAGAAGCAGTGGGTTTTTCCCTCAGATCAATAATACCTAAAAAGGAAAGTGTGAATAACAAGATTATAAGGTGAAACACTTACAAGTTCTCTGTCAAGGGAAAGATAACATTGAAGCTCTGATACCATGAAAGACTAGAAAAGCCCTAAAGCGAGAAAGTGAACACCTGCATTCTCCATTCAACACCACA